CGCGGACACCTGCCTTGGGGGCCCTTCTTCCTCCGAGGGGACTTGTGCTCCTGCCTTCCTTGGGGCGATGACCGAGGCTTCGGGCATTGAGGAGCTGCGATCCGGCTTACGTCCGCTGGCAGTGGGACCGCACCCCACCCATATAAATAGTTCAAGCGAAGCAAAGCGCTCGCTTTCAAACTGTGTGGTCATTTATGAACAAACCATAACAAACGGCTACTTCTGGGCAGTACAGAATAACTACTTATTTGGGAAATCAGAGGTGGCCAGCGAGTTCATCATGCCGTTTCCAGACAGACCAGCCAACGACAACTCAGTCCTAACAAGAGGCAGCATCGTTAGCTAGGCGTTACGCTGTCATCGTTTTTCTCTTACATGCAAAGAGATCTGGACCTCAGTCTTACAGAACTTTATACACACACCTGTATACATCTTACAAACATGTGTTTTGGTCCAAAATGCTTCCAAATGACAGCGTTCAGTAGCAGTGAATGAGCGCAAACAGCAGCTTTGTCAAGGACTTCAAAGGTCATGTGACTCGGCTCAGCTAAATGAGCCAGCTGAATCCTGCGTGCCCTGTTCATGTGAAATTTCTCCTTTTTGTTGGATGATTCTGTACCCGAAAGCGTGCCTTACACCACCTTTAAGGTGCACTGGGGTGCCATCAACTTCCTGAAAAAGCTTTTGCTTCTTAGGAACTCTTTATTTTCAGTCTGCCTGCATGAAGCAGTGGTCTTCTTACAAATTCAGCAGAATTCAGCCAGAAGGTTTTGCAGCCTCTCAGCTCTGCCCCTTCACCCCTCATGGGTAACAGGGACCTCCCTACAGCCAGAGAGACTCTACAGACCAGGACAGAAACCTCCCCTGCACGCCGGGAAGGAAACACGCAGAACCCCTTGGTCCCTCAGGCCCTCTGGCAGGAAAAGACGATCCCTGCTATGACACAGTCCTGCCCTTCCTCTTTAAAAGAGCAATAGAATGAACACATGATTTATTAGCTGGTACAAACGTATTTGAAAATAGCTGCTTCCAAAAACATCCCCATGATCACAACCGCATGAGGACTGACATCCAGCCAGCCAGCCTGAGCTAGACTGAAACAAGATATAGTGCCTGTGAGACAGCAGGGAAGTCTCCCAGAACATCCTTCGTCAGGTCCTCAAATACATGGCCTGCTTCCTCTAGTTTAGCACCTACCCTAAAGACAAAGATTTTCATACAGGAGATCGCTAACATTCTTGCCCTCTGAGTATTCGCCACTCAAACAGACTTTTCTAAAGAAAGCACACTTCGCAGAACGAAATGGCACCATCTGTATTTTTTTAATCGGTGGAGGACAATGAGGTCTATGTGGTCCAGGTGGGCTCTGTCCCCACCTCTGCGGCTGCTAAGAAGGAGAGCTTCCTTGCTAGGTGCAAGCTTGGGACTATTTAATGCTGATTAAGAAATCCACCTCACTCCCTCAGGGATGGTTACCACCCTTAACATACACTAGACTTGCTTTAACGAAGTATGGCTTGATCATAGCACAGCACAAGAGAAAGCAAAGTCGATCAAATATCAATTGCTGATTTCTAGGCAAGCCTGGGTAGCTATACTCCGTGGTAAATTCTCACAATAAACACTAGAGCTTTTATAGAAGCTCTGCCTGCAGTCAGGCAAAATTCTCACTTTCCTGAAATGGCCTTACCTCCTCTTTGTGTGACTTATAGTTAAAGATCCATTTTTATCTAGACAATACAACCAGAAAGCAGGGTAAAGAGGATCTGAGGTATTGATTTCAAAAGTGTGCAAGAGCATTTCTTTGTCCATGATGGAGTAAAATGAGACGGTCTTCTTTTGTAGCTCGAGGAAAACTCCAACCTTCAATGGTTTCTCCCTGTTTAATAATGTTTCTTGATCCCTATGCCATGCTGACAGCTGCTTTTTTGAACCTACCCATTCCACACACCAGGAATGCTCTGACCTTCCCAATTTATCTCTTTTACCAATCATTTCATGAGCAACTCCAACAGCCCATCCATCACTGTCCTTGGTAATTACTTCCCAGTAGTGGCAGCCAGTAGAGAAGCTCTGGGAACACAGCACTTGGCTGATGCAGAATCTCTTGGGTGATGGTTCATAATCTGAGGGATAGCTGGAAACCATGACTTTCTTGTTCTGGGCTGTGATTACTAAGTGCTGATATATTCTTGTGAGATCAAAGGTCACATCATCTGCCCCTAGAAGAGAGAAAGGAAAATATTCACACCTGCAGGCAACAAGAAGATAGATCGCCTCAGTATTTACATGCATCCTACATAATGCTGGATGGGCAGTCCTTCTCAAGAACGGCAGTGAAACCCAATGATCACACAGTAAACCTTAATCAAAGCCCAGTCCTGAACATCAGTAAGAACTGTCAACCAAACACTAAAGACTCTATTCTGAGGCCAGTGCTCACTGAAAGGTTTAACAGACACAATCGAGTAAACATCCGTGAAAGACTCGTGGACTGCAACGAAAGGTGAAGGCACTTGACATCACACAGGATGGATCTGATTCTCAACCACAGTCTTGCAACAAAATTAGCCCTTTTGCCAGTAATAAATGGGACACTTTGCCTAAGAAAACTTACATAACCAGCAATTTACTGGGACATGTTTTTGCATGTTTTATCAGCAAAAACATTTGTTTCATGTTTAAGCTACAACTGTAGTACTATGCGTTGACCGTAAACGTAGTTCTGTAAAAATGATGCCGAATTCAGACATCAAATGTAGTCACTACAGCTTAACACAGTAAAGATCAGTAAGGGGCAGTAACTGCTCATACACCAACTCATAATCTGCAGCCAGCACAAGCTACAACACAGGCTTATATACCTCCATAAAACAGGTTTCTTACCCTTTTTATCTTGCCTGTGCAGTCAGGTATGGTATTACCTTATGCTGCAGTAACTGATTCATTCACAGTAACTTGATTGTGTTTCTAAGCTTCAGCTGAACAGCCAGATCTCCTGCTGATGTTTATAAGTACAGTTTTCTTCAGCAGATCCACAGTCATAGTGTTAATTTGTTTTCACTTAAATATCGTTCACTGAAGTGTCACGCTGGCTTGCATACTTACACTGAGAAAATTGGCTTGAAGTCCCTGGCTCTGGATTTTTAGCTGCAGACTCTGAAGATATTGAGCAAACCCTTGTCTCCTGATGTAAGTCTGGAGGTTGTTCTAAATATGAGAAAAGAAAGTGAGAAGGTGCTTCTTCAAAATGTAAATAGGAAGTATTTATGTTTCCAAAGCAAAACATAAAATATCGTAAAACTCGCTAGTGGTTCAAAACAAAAGTTCAAAACAAAATTGTGTAAATTACTGAAGGATGTGTAGGCAAACATCATTCATATACCTATTCATAAACCTATCAAAACACTGTATGCAGCAGCTGTACTCACTGTGGTCAGAATGGAGCAGTTAGAAGGTTAGATATGTAAAGCAGTTGGATGTCTTGCTGCCTTTCTCTTTGCAGTCAGTTTCTTTCATAAAAGTGTTTAGAGTGGTCTTTTGTTTTTTTCTGAGCATGCCATGTTTCTTGTGTTACTCGCACAGGCATTTCACAAGCACCAAGTAATATCTGAGTCTGCCCACCAAAAAGCCTGACGTTCAGCCCTACAGCTTTGAGGACTGTTTCTAACTTTCTATGATACTGTAAGGCATATTTAGAAGACTTGTTTGCAGACACTTTCTGCTATAGTTACGTGATACATTGGCTTTGCCAGGAAAGCCAGCTTTAGAAGTTCCTGCCCTATGCCTCTGCTTACTGACTCCTCGGTTATGCTAGTAAAAATGATTGTGGAGCAAAGTTGTTTCAGCAACTCGATTGCTGAAATAATCCAGTAAGAAAAATCTTAAGGTAAAAATACGATTAAGTAACTCAGGTTTTTGAGTGCTAGTGCTTGCAAAAGGCAAGTAGTAATGGAAAGGATGGTAAGGGGAGGTTTGCCCTTCAGTAGCAGTGGGGCTTTAGTTTAGTCTCAGTTGCTCTCAGAAATGTTCACTGGGCTTTCTAAAACAGACAAACTGTGATGGGAAGAGGAGAACTCCATAGCAAAGCCCAGACCAATTCCAGAAGGCTTTGCCGGGACACAGCTTTTGGTGAGAGGGAATTTTATGCCTAATCTTAGTAGAGACTTTGCTTTTAGACTACTCTGTATTTAGAAAACAATATTTATATGGGTTAAGTTTCATTCCCCATTTCTCATCTTCACGTCTATCAGTTCTTTTCTTTTGGGCCCCCGTTAAAGAAGTATAATGTAGTCAAGTTATCCACAAAACTGCAAGGGGGTTTAGAACAATATGCACACCTGTTTTCTCTGAAGTTTTTGGTTCGTTTTCCAATGTTACAGACCCATCTGTTTGTAAGAATGACTCTCCTACCAATCTTCAGTGTGGGGTCAAAGCAGTGTAAAAATTCAGCAGTCTCCCATGTAAGGGATTGAGTGAGGTGGAGAGGCCACATGCAGGACCTTGCTGGATCAACTCCCTCTAATAAAACGAGAGATTTCAAAAAACTCACCTGGTGGGAACTGCCCAGGGTATTTCTCCAAAAGTAACATTTCCAATTGTTTCTTAAGATCGTCTACAGCACTTGTGACAACGTTAATCTTCTCCTCAAGTATAATTTTATCTGTTGTTAAAGGTGAGCCTTTGTACCTATCTCTCTCAGGTAAGTTACCCTAATAACGACATAAAACAAGAATCAAGGCGGGGGAATGTAAACAATAGCAGTTATTTCATCTAGCACATCAGGTGACGCTCTAAAGCCAGAGTGGAGAAGCAGCAATGATCTTTCTAAAATCTTATTCTTTGTGTAGAGAGCTTCCTTTATAGACTATGTATTTGAGAGGAATAACTGGAAACCTTAGAGAAAATATGATCTTGATCAAGAATAAACTAATTTGTTTTCCCCATGAAAAGTAAGAATGGAATAATTTTTCTTAAATATATCTTAAATATATTACATTTTCCTTATATATATATATATATGTGCATACATATACAATACATACGCCTCACAAACTTTCTTTCTCTTTTTAAGCTTTCTCCTTGTTCTAGGAACACAAATTCAAAGTTTTAAAATGAATTAGGATGAGATCTAGCACGCAATACGCAGAGAGTGGTAATCCTCAATTGCCTACATTTAGAAATTGTGGAAATCTACATCTGAGCTTGTCCTCTTAGTCTGCCTTTAGTCTGTGGAAAGAAACAGGCATTTTGAAGGCTTGATTCATCTCATCTGAAGATAGGCGTCCCAAGTAGGCTGGATGACTCATGCTCTAAAAGTACCTGTTTCTCTTAATTGCCTATAATGGGAGTCTAGATCAGATGTAAATATATTAAGTTGCACAAGATGAATTCCAATGGAGGCCTCTGCGCCTTGCCCTGGCAATCCACTTCTGTCTCCTTACGCTTCCATATCTGGTAAGCCCTACTCCAAATTCCCACTAGCTAATTAACATCATTAGTATTGTGTTCCACATCAGAATGGGCTCTGCAGAATTAAAAGTGCTCTTTGGAGAGCCCTTGACAGATTTTTTACAAAAAAAAAAAAGTTACTAGAACATATTTAATGACTTTGTGAGTCCTTTAACTTGCATACATATATATTTTTCTGGAATATACAAATAAAAATATAATAAAGGATCTTAACTTAACCTCAGGTTTGACTCAGGACTGGATTTAAGCAAGTGCAGTCCCCACTTCATTCCAGCTCACTAACCTCCTCGGAACAAGTCTAGTTCTGAATTTGCATCCCTAGCCTATGCCTGTTCTAGTATTTTTTCCCCTCTGAATTTTCCACTCCAAACTTTCACTGGCAGCAGTAACGGTGGTAACTAGTGAGAATAGTGCAGTGGAGATCTGAAAGGGCTCTGTACATGTTCAGCCTTTTAAGAGATTTAGCTCAAGAGTTTCTACTTACATTCAGCCACCTCGTTTCATCACTTACCAGTCCTTTCTCCATTTGGGCTTTGATGTCTGTGAGCTTGTTCACTTCAACACAGAGCTGGTCAATAGTCTCTTCAATTTTCTGTTGCGTTGCTTGTTGCTCTTGTTCAATGAACATCAGTGTGCTTCTCTCCTGCCTTTCAATGTATTCCTTCATGCAACAGAAATCTTTAGTAATCTGGCTTTTGATCTGAAATGTATATTCCTGGAAGGCAGAAAACACGGAGTTTTTTGTGTTTGTAGAAAAGATGTGTGTAATATGAGAAGCTAGTGCTTCATCTAATGCACTTTGACTGACGTCTACAGACCAGTAGCAGCTGTCTTTATTTAAAGGAATAAAACATGTTTGCACTGTCCTGCATTGCTTGCAGTCGGATTTTGAGCATGTTACGGATCTTGACTGTTTTATGGCCAGCAGTCTTTGGTCAGCATCTTCGCAAAGATCAATATTCCCTCTTCATGCCTTGCCTTTTGCCTCTAAGGGTTCCAGAAGCATCCAGGCTGCTCCTGGGATAGGCAGAAAAAGACAACAACATGCAACTCCTGTGGCCCTTGCGCCAGCTAAGGCAGGGGTTAACGCAGCTGGTGCCATAGTCCACACTCAGCAGAAAAAAAAAAAAAAAGAGGTATGAGAGCAAAAGGAAACGAAAAGGAAATCCCTGCTTTGGGCTAGAAGGCTGCACTGGTGTCAGTCAGGTTCTCCAGGTAGATGTGGAAACAGAAGTTAACTGCAGTTAATGAACGTACACATCCATACCTTTGTTTTACTGAGATCCTCCCTCAAGAGGCGGATGGTCTCTTCAGTCATTTCCAGTTGCTTGGAGATCTCACTTATCTCTTCCTCCTTTAAAGTGACACATTGGACTGTTTATCTATATAACACTCAGAGAAAACATGACTACGTTATACAGCAGAGTAATAAAACCCCCTACATCATGGATATTAGCGATGCACTGACTGGTTCAAAGCGGGGTAGAGCTCACAATTAATTCTGAGTGTGAATAATCACAGCAAAGTCAACATTCAACAATTACATGTTCAAATGTCATTATGAGCTTAAGCCCTCTGCTTGACTGCAGAGATTGAAGATAACTGTCTTGTGTGTGTACGTATGTGCGTATAGTGCTAAAATAATGCGGGTCAATAGTCAGATTTTGCTCATCTCTTCCATCAAAATGTGGGAGTTGTTTAAAGTTTTTTTCTTTTTAAGCAGAGACGTAGATAATGAACCAGAGGCATTTTGTGCCGTTTGGCTAGGGGGAGCTGTAGCACCGTATAAATAATGTTATGTTTCAGTTAGCTGTCTCCAGCTAAGCCTGTGCAATAAATAACACCGCTTAAAGATGTTTATGAAAAGAGGAGGGAAAGAACAGACAGGGACTGGGATACAAAACAACTGAAGCAACGCTCTGTCTTCCAGGATGCTCAGCGCTCAAGGCGAGGGATACCACACGCTGGGATTACACTGTTTGCCCATTGCTAGTTTTAACTGGAGGAATAATAAGGCAATGGTGAAAAATGGAGACGGAAACGAAAGACAGTAACAGAGATGGAGAGAAAGAAAAAGAAAACAAGTGAAGATATATTTACAGACATCTAAAGTCTCTAGCCCTTCGGTGATCAACAGGTAGTGCTCCAGCATCCTCTCGTAGCACCCCTTTTGCATATATGCAGCCCTCTCAATGTGATACTGTTATGAGAATGCTAAACTGGCATGTGAAATGCAAAGTAGCCAGAAGGAAAAAAAAATGCAAGAAAACAGATGAAGTTAACTCAGTTCCAGCCTCATCCCCATTTTCACAGCCCTGCAGAAGGGTATCCCTGGGGGTTACTCTGGGCAGGAGCCCCCGGATCTCCTGGGGAGGTGAGGGCAGGAGCCCTGGGCTGTCCCTGCCTGTCCCAGGGGGCT